TATAACCGTCTGTAGCACGGTATTTGCTGGTTTTAGGTGTTCTTACAAAGCAGGCAGGACTAGGTGGGACTTTGGCCCAGCGGGGCTTCTGATTGGCCACTAGAGATTTGATTGGCTGTACAGATTGTTTTAAAAAAGGATCTTCACTGTGGGACCGAAGGTCAGCCGCGGCAGCCATTTTGTGGCTGGCTCCGCCTCGTGCGGCAGCCATTTTGTGGCGTCCGTTTTGCGGCTGCGCCAGCCTCCCTATGTCAGAATCCCAAAGGGGCCCGCAGGCCCAGAAAGGCTGAGGACCCCGTTCTCGTCCTTATGCTCAAAGCGCTCCGTCTTCTCCGTCATCCCTCACTGCTCCCGCCAAGTTCATTCCCTCTCCCTCCCCCCGCTTCATCGCCGTGGCCCCGTTTCCATCCGTAAGACTATGCCATAACCAATGGCCACAGTTATAAAGACAATATATAAAACAAACAAACACTGTGATAAAAATGACAATGACATTTGACATGCAGCTGCTTGGAATCATTCAGATTAGTTTTTAGAGAGTCTGGGTGCGTTCAGACGCGCCGTTTCAGCCGGCATAAACTGTACCAGTTGGAACCGGTGCAGCTTATGCCGGCTGAAACGTGATCACACTTATCTCCTGTCTGCGGAGCCCATCGCTGTATGCCCGTTCACACACAGCGGGCATCGGCGGTTTGTTTGTTTGTTTAACACAGTTTGCGCATGCGCATAGGCAGCCATCCACAGAATGGCAATCTTCACGCATGCGCAAAACACCCCGTCTTACATTTAAACTTTAAAGGTAAGGACTTACCTTTAAAGTTTAAAGAGCAAAGTGGCCTCCCTGAGGTCCCGGACTCCTCTAAAAGTTAAACTAAGGACCTTTTCTTTTTTAAAAAAGCTAACGCCGGGGCGAAGCTTCGCCCAAGCGCATATCGCCAACCTAAAAAAAAATGGCGGGCGAAAATCGGAAGCCTTGGGCTTCCGAACGGAAGTGGCTCTACAACGGTGGAGAGGGATCAGACGGGGGGGGGGGAACGATTACAACCGTTGCACTCAGGATACCACCACTTGGGGACCTAGTGGCAGAGTACAACGGTTTAAAGCTCTTTGCAACGGTTAGGGACGGAAGGCACATGTTCGCCGTGTGAACGCCGGTAAGTACACCGATTCCAACCGGCACCTATACTGCTGCAAATGCCCCGTCTGAACGCACCCTCTGAGTTCCAACTGGAGTGGTGGAGAGCATTTGTCAGCCTATTTAAAAAGGAGGCTTCTAGCTGGGTAGAAAAGGGGACTGGTAGCCACTGCTAGAAATAAATGAACTGGCTCGCTCCTAATTCGAACGCCTGAAATGGATCTAGAAGTAAGTTTAAAGTTAAAAATGATTAACCATTTCAAAAATTTTTAAAAACGATAACAAAACCAACATTCTATCCGGCTTCGTGTTTCTTCCCGCTTTAAGCGACCATTGTTTGTTCCAGGGTAATTTGAAGAAAGTAAAAAAGAAGTTAAGCTGTAACCATTTGAAAATGGCACCAGAAGATCAATTTAAAAAGAAGTTAAGCGGTAAAAATTTGAAGAAAGTAAAAAAGAAGTTAAGCTGTACCAAGAGGCTGACACCTTTCAACATAAATAGGGTTCAATATGTTGTCGAAGCCTTTCACGGCCGGAGTTCATTCGTTGCTGTAGATTTTCCGGGTTGTGTGGCTGTAATCTTGGCCACGTTTCGCCAATAGCAGAGACTGGCATCCTCAGAGGTATAACACAGAAAGATGGAGTCCTCTCTGTGTCGATGTGAGAAGAAAAATGGTAGGCAGGTAATTTACATCTACTCAGGAAGGAGGGGGAGGGCGGAGTCATTCTCTTGTAGGAGTTCCCCAGGCTATGAACATGCTAATTATTAACAGCCAGTCCACATACAAAAGAATCCACATACAAAAGAACAGTTCAACAGCCAATCCACATACAAAAGAACTTCCTCAGGAAACAGGAAACCTCCTCAGGAAACAATCCATATACAAAAGAACCTCCTCAGGAAAGCTCCTCCATTAGTATGTTCATAGCCTGGGGAACTCCTACAAGATAATGACTCAGACCTACCCCACCTTCCTGAGTAGAGATAAATTACCTGCCTACCATTTTTCTTCTCACCATGACACAGAGTACCCCACCTTTCTGTGTTATACCTCTGAGGATACCAGTCACATCTGCTGATGAAACGTCAGGTCCTACACGGCCAAGACCACGGCCATACAACTCGGAAAATCTATAGCAACTAATAAACAGGATTACGCCTGAGGAAGATTGGTGAAATGAGTTTATAACTGGTCGCTCATTGAGGACGACAGACTTTTCCATGAGAATGTTAGAATTTCCTTAGTAATACTGGAAAAAACTTTCATTTGTAATATAAATTGATGTTCAGAAGATTTATTAAATGTCATTGTCATTTTTTTTATCACAGTGTTGGTTGGTTTGATATACAGCCAATGGCCACTGCAGGTTCTCCCTCCACCCAAAAAACTCCTCTTCCTAATCCTCCCCAAGACCCATTTCTTCAGGACAGCCAGCTAAGGCCCACGCATCCTCTGAAGGAAAGCCCTGGGCAAACAATCCTAGGGGAAGGAGAATATGGTCTACGTACCTTCCAGGTGGGCTGGGAACTCCCAGTCATCTTCGAAGTTTAAATATCCAGAGAAGCGCCGAGAGGCAGGAATGGAATCGTGCTGGAAGTTGGGATCTTGGCTAGGATTGAATGGAGCGAAGGAGACGCCGTTAGCATACATGGCTCGTGGAGATGGGTGGCACTGTGGTGGCTGGTATTGTGGCCCAGGGTGCCAATTTGCATTTCCATTCCATGCTATTCCTGTAAAAATCAGGAGAAGGGAAGGAGGCTGTTATCCTGGAACAAGCACAGGCAAACTTTCATCTTAAAGGTAAAGGTTCCCTTGCTCGAAAGCCAGTCGAATCGAAGACGTTTCCGTGGTCATGTGGCCAGCATGACTAAACACCAAGGCGCACGGAACGCTGTTACCTTCCCACCGAAGTGGTACCTATTTATCTACTTGCAATTTCTTGCTTTCAAACTGCTAGGTTGGCAGGAGCTGGAACTAGTGATGGGAGCTCACTCCATCATGCGGCACCCGGGTCTCGAACTGCTGAACTACTGACCTTCTACAGCCTGTAGTTCAGCGTCTTAACCACTTGAGCCACCGCAGCTCCTAACTTTCATCTTACGGAACCTCAAAGGCTAGCATTTATTTCAATATGAGCTTTCATGAGTCACAGCCTAGAGACGTAAAATTTCAGGAAATTCTGAAGCCGCGGGGAATATTGATTTTTTTCCCCATTAAAAAAACAAAACAGAAATTCTGGCGCAAAAAAAAAAAATTAATTTTAGGCAATACTTACTTTCCTGTCAAACTTAACTTCTTTTTACTGTTTGAACACAAAATACATCATTCGGTGTACTTAGTTTAGAAAACTGGACTAGTTGTCATATTGAAGGAATTCAAAAGTATGATATGTCTTCCTTTTCTATAAGAAAAAACTGTGACTGAACTCAGTACCTGAGCATGTTGCAACCTTGTCATGATCTGTGTAGGACGGGGAGACAAGGCCTAGTGAGGTCTAGGCCCAGGAGACCTGTGTGGGAGTGGAAAGCAGACACAGCCTACACTCCCCACAATGCTTGGCGACAGTGGTAACCAATTGGTGTCTAGGGATTGTATGAGGGGATTGTTACTAAAACCTGGTGGGCTGTGGAACTGTGTTCTTTTCTCTCTCACAGAGTTAAGCTGAGAGGACAGTCTGGCCTGAGAGAAAGTTCCCTCACTCAGGACAGAGTGAGTACAGGCACCTGCCTCGTATAAGAGGCCGTGGGCCTTGAATAATAACCAGTTAAGAGAAACAGGTAGCCGCGTTTAATTTGTTTTATTTACCTTCAGTCACTGTTAGATATCTGAAGCACCTTGTCTTGTTTTCCTGGCCCCATTACTGTATTAATAAACCATTTCCTTCATGTTCTCGGCTTAAAAGGGGCATTTTGGTTGGGCTTGGGAGGGTGCACTGGGCCTCCCCAAGGGACCCTAAGGCCAGAGTGCTGGCGGAAGGAAGGTGGCAACCGACGGTGTCATGACAAACCTACTGTACCCTATGACACTATCGCACATGTATCACAAGCACCAAGTTGAGGACCCCCTGGATTAGAAGGGTGAAGGCAATGGGGAGCGGAAAACCATAAGAAGGGGGGGGGGGGGGGCGCAAGGGTCCGCTTCTCACACACGGGAGACTTAATCTGGATTTTTCCCCAAGTTACGATGCCTTTTTGCCGTCTTCCTCTTCGATCTTTCTCTCTCTGTTTTTGTCTCCCACAGAAACGCAATACTGCGGATGCATTTGGAATCCTGGCTAATTGTGTTGGGTGCAGCCACAAAATGGCGGCCCCAGTTCACCTTAAGACCATAAGAGAAGCCAATGTTGGACCAGGCCAGTGGTCCATCCAGCCCACCACTCTGTGTCACACAGTGGCCAAAGCCCAGGGGTCATCAGGAGGTCCACCAGCACGGCCAGAACGCCAGAAGCCTTCCAACTGTCGCCCCCCCCCCAAGCACCAAGGATACAGAGCGTCACTGCTCCAGACAGAGTGTTCCATCTCTACCTTGTGGCCAATGGCCACTCATGGACTTCTGCTCCATATGTTTATCCAACCTTGAAGCTGTCCATGCTTGTTGTTGCCACCAAGGCAGTGAATTCCACATGTCAATTACTCTTTGGGTGAAGAAGGGCTTCCTCTTATCTCTTCAAAGCCTCCTGCTGCTCCTTAATTTGATTCAGTGCCCACAAGTTCACTGCCACAAGAAGTGGTGGCGGCTACAAGCATGGACAGTCTAGACTCTTCCTCCTAATCTCTATAATAGAATATGGGCTAAGGTCATGAGGGCACTAGAGCTTACATATACTCCAAAGATACAGGAAGACAAGGAGGATCCTGGGTTCTTTCCTGTAGGCTCTGACAAAACCATTCAGAGCAAGTGATGCTCTGTCTTCTTGGTGCTTGGGGGGGCCAACAGTGGGAGGGCTTCTAATGTCCTGGCCCCACTGGTGGACCTCCTGATGGCACCTGGTATTTTTGGCCACTGTGTGACAGAGTGTTGGACTAGATGGGCCTTTGGCCTGATCCAACATTGGCGTCTCTTATGTTCTTAAGTTCTTGTATGGGGAGAAAAGTACTTCTTTCTCTACCTTCTCTATCCCAGGCATAATTTTGTAAACCTCTCTCATGTCACCCCTCAGTTTGGTGTTGTGGTTAAGGGCGTGGGTTCTAATCTGGGAGAACCGGGTTTGATTCCCTGCTCCCCCACATGCAGCTGCTGGTGTGACCTTGGGTCAGCCACAAGTTCTCTCAAGAGTTCTTCTCTCAAGAGCAGTCCTCAGAAGAGCTCTCTCAGCCCCGCCTACCTCACAGGGTGTCTGTTGCAGGGAGGGGAAGGAGATTGTAAGCCACTCTGAGACGCCAACTCAGAGTATAAATCCAACCTCCTCCTCCTCCTCTTCTATCAGCATTTCTCCAAGGTAAAGAGCCCTAACCTCTTTAACCTTTCTTCACAGGGAAGGAACAGCATTATAGCTGCCCTTTTCTGCACCTTTCCCAATGCTGTGATGTTGTTTTTTGAGGTGCGGCGGCCAATGCTCCCTCTAAACTGTGGAGTCCTGTGAGCAAAAATTCCACCTTGTGAGCTACCAGCATTGAAGTTGTGAGCAGGTGATTTGGCGACTGCATACGTTTTGCTCTGGAGCCGCCCTTCCTGAGCAAAGACAGAAATGTGTGCGCCGGAGGCTAAGAAACTGTGAGCTGGCTCACGCTCACTCAGCTTAGAGGGAACACTGGCGGTGACCAGAACTGGACAGAGTATTCCAAATGAGGCCTCGCCATCGATTTACACAGGGGCTTTAAGATACCTTCGGTCACACAGTGAGGATCCGTGCACAGTGGGCGGCAACTGCTGCCAATGTAGCATTTTTAAACATCTGAACCATCAATCAAATATCCAGTCAGAGCAAATATCCCCACCTTGCCTGGCCCACATCCTAAAAACACTTGGTGGGCACCAGCAAAGGTACTGGTGGATGCCACGGCACCTGAGGGCACCGGATTGCAGACCCCTGCTCTCTCAACACCAGGGCTGCCAAAGGGCACGCTTCGCAATTCCAACAAAGAACGAAGAAGAAGAAGAAGAGATTGGATTTATACCCCGCCCTTCACTACCCAAGGGAGTCCCAGAGTGGCTCACAAACTCCTTTCCCTTCCCCTCCCCACAACAGACACCCTGTGAGGTAGAAGAAGAAGAAGAAGAGATTGGATATATACCCCGCCCTTCACTACCCAAGGGAGTCCCAGAGCGGCTTACAAACTCCTTTTCCTTCCCCTCCCCACAACAGACACCCTGGGAGGTAGGTGGGACTGAGGGAGCTCTTTCAAGAACTGCTCATGAGAGAACAGCTCTGAGAGAGCTTGTGACTGACCCAAGGTCACACCAGTAGCTGCATGTGGAGGAAGAAGAGATTGGATTTATACCCCGGTGGGATTTATACCCGAAGGAGTCTCAGAGCGGCTTACGATCTCCTTCCCCTCCCCACAACAGAAACCCAGTGAGGTCGGTGGGGCTGAGAGAGCTCTGACAGAAACGGCTCTTTTTCAAGAACGGCTCTGACAAGACTACAGCTCGCCCAAGGCCATCCAGCAGACGCAAGTGGAGGAGTGGGGAATCAAACCCGGTTCTCCCGGATTAGAGTCCGCACACTTAACCACTACACCAAACTGGACCAAAAAGCCGAAGGAACAATTCGGGCCACAGTGTTCATCCCCCATGGCAGTTTCCAAGCCGCTTTTTACATCTCTAGGGCCTGTGGTAGAACTCTAGGACCCAGGTAGCAACCACTGCCAGGGCGGCCTTTTACCATCTTTGGCTGGCTCGGCAGTCGGTCCCCTATCTCAGCCGTGAGGACCTGGCCACAGTGATCCATGCGACGGTCACCTCAAGGCTAGACTACTGCAACGCTCTCTACATGGGGCTGCCTTTGTCGCAAGTTCGGAAGCTGCAGCTGATGCAGAATGCTGCGGCCAGGCTGTTGATGGGTCTCTCGAGGAGGGACCACATTCAGCCTATGCTGAAAGCGCTGCACTGGCTGCCGATAGTGTACCGGATTCGCTTCAGAGTGCTGGTTCTGACCTTTAAAGCCCTTTATGGCCAGGGTCCAGCCTACCTGAGGGACCGCCTTTCTCCATATGTTCCCCCAAGGGCACTTCGGTCGGGAGGGCGTCATCTCCTGTAAATTCCAGGCCCAAGAGAAGTTAAATTTGCTGTGACCAGGACTAGGGCATTTTCGGTGGCGGCTCCTACCTGGTGGAAGGAGCTCCCGGAGGAGATCTGGGCCCTGTGGGACCTTTCTCAGTTCCGCAGGGCCTGCAAGACGGAGCTCTTCTGCCAGGCCGTTGAGTAGGAGCCGCCGCCACCACTATTCCACCTGTACCCCCTATGCCCTGGCGTACTAACATCTGATTGCCTGGCCCCTGAGGGCGGAGCGAGGCGCTGGACACGGCTCCGAGGGCAAGATCGTAGGTAGCTATGTGAGGTCAAGATCTCCCCTTCTTGCTTGAAATTTGCTGTAATTTGTTATATATTTTATTGTAATTTATTGTTTTTAAATTATATGTTATTGTTTTAACCTGGCACATTGTGCCCCCGTTAGCCGCCCTGAGCTTTCAGGGTAGGGCGGGATATAAATGTAAATATAAATAAAGAAATAAACTTCCCACCCATCCGGGAACAACAAACCGCTCTATCAATGCCCCACCCCTCACCGTTTTGTGGGCGTTTCTCTTTCAGGTCGACTCCCCAGGCTTTGCCCACGTGAGTCAGCAGCAGCTTGGTGATGTAGCGGTGCACCAACATGTTCCAGTGGACCCCGTCAGGGGCCCGGTACTCTTCGAAGAAGCGGAAGCAGTAGTTCAAGTCTAGAACGTCAAACTGGTAGCAGGAGGCCAGGGTGGCCCCTTCGAAGTTGGCCCTCAGGATGTCCACGGGAGTCGTCTCGTTCTTCATCTGCACGTGACAGGAAGAAGAAGAAGGAGAAGAAGGAGAAGAAGGAGAAGGAGAAGAAGGAGAAGAAGGAGAAGGAGAAGAAGGAGAAGGAGAAGAAGAAGAAGGAGAAGGAGAAGGAGAAGGAGAAGGAGAAGAAGAAGAAGGAGAAGGAGAAGAAGAAGGAGAAGGAGAAGAAGAAGAGATTGGTTTTATACCCCACCCTTCACTACCCAGAGGTGTCTCAGAGCGGCTGACAAACTCCTTTCCCTCCCCCTCCCCACAACAGACACCCTGTGAGGTAGGCAGGGCTGAAAGAGCTCTTTTGAGAACTACTCTTGAGAGAACAGCTGAGAGAAGAAGAAGAAGAAGGAGAGACTGGATTTATGCCCCGCCCTTCACTACCCAAATGAGTCTTACAGAGCGGCTTACAAACTCCTTTCCCTTCCCCTCCCCACAACAGACACCCTGTGAGGCAGGTGGGGCTGAGAGAGCTCTTGACAGAAACTGCTATTTTTCAAGAACAGCTCTTATCAGAGCTACGGCTTGCCCAAGGTCATCCAGCCAGGTGCAAGTGGAGGAGTGGGGAATCAAACCCGGTTCTCCCAGACTAGAGTCCGCGCACTTAACCACTACACCAAACTGGAAAAGGAGGGATCGGATGGGATTTTAAAGGGTCATCTCTGATAGGCAAACCAGCAAGACGGACAACCTTTTCTTATTATCGTGTGTGCGTCACCCGAGCAGGTGGAGCGGATTTCAGCATCCCTGTGAAACAGCACAGGGCAAATTTGGGCAAAAGGATAAGATGTCCACAACACAGATGGCTGAGCAGAACTGTGGTTGGGAGAGAAGGAAACGGTTTTCCAAGAAAACTATGACTGTTCCAAATAAGGGCAAATAATATATAGGCTTGGCAAGCATACTTGTGTATAGATATAAAGGAAATACACACTCTGTAATCTGAAGAGATCTGCGCATGTCTAGAAGTTGTTTGTCACACTGTACAAAAGGTCAGCGCTAATGCCTTACTAAAGCGTGTCCAGAAGAGGGCAACCGGGATGGTGAGAGGGTTGGAATCCAAGTCTTAGGAGGAAAGGCTGAAAGAGTTGGGTCTGTTTAGCCTGGGAAAGAGAAGGCTTAGAGGGGACATGATTGCAGTCTTCAAGTATTTGAAGGGCTGCCACCATCAGTTAAGGGACCAATCATCTAATCTAGAGGACAATCGCATGCAAAAGTTATAGAGATTTATCAAAGTTTGTTAATGGGGGGGAGAATGTTCTTTACGGTCTTTATTGCCCCTTACCAAGGCACTG